GATCTGCCTGTTCTGCTCCACGCTCTGTCTCTGGTGAAGCCTCTCACCACCCCTGAGCCTCTGGCCTGCACCCCAGTTCTGTATGCACTGGACACATTGGGCTATGGTGGTAGACTCAGGGTGCTTGTAGGAGACCCATGAAAGTCTGACTTCTATTTGCTTGTTCCCTTCCAAAGACTGCATCTCCTGCCATGGCTGGTTAGGAATTGAATTTATAACCGGAGAGGGGGCAAGCACACACCCTGTAACTGTAGGGTGGATGATGATGCTGGTAATGGAGAAGTTACATTTTTATGGAAACAGTGGGGTTGGAGGAAAAACACACTTAATCTATATAAAGAAAATTTTACCTTACTTTCCCTCTGTTAATTAATTAATACAATTAATATATATATAACAACACAATTAATTGTATAACTGAAAAGTGTTAATATATAACAACACAATTAAGTGTATGATTGACAAATAATTAATATGTATATAACTGAATAATAATTAGGAAAAAACAATTCACTGGCACTGTTTAAGAGACAAGATAGGAAGAATGAAGGCTGAAAGGCTTGCCAGAAACCTACACATATATATTTTTTCAATTTTCTGGGTGGTTCTCAAGTGACAAGAGAAGCCAACCTCTTACTTCAGTTTAAACTTATACTTGAAGCCATCAGACGGAATCAGCAGCACTGTCGCTGTGCATGCAGGGAAGGCGCCAACTGTCAAGTTACCTAACATTTAAGCAATAGCTGCCCTTCACTCAGGGTGGCTGACACCCAAGAGGGCCTGCTGGACCTGCCTTCTGGGCTTTACAGTTAGCTCTGCCAAAGAGAAAGAGGCCTCAGGCACGCGGCTCTCTGTCAAGCGCAAACGTTGGCTTCTGGGTGTGTCTGCACATCGCGCCATGGCCATTCTCCTGTCACGGGCTGAGTCATCTGGCCTGGATCTTTTAAAGCTGTTGTAGTGAAGAATTTTTACGCACATTTACATGGGACTGTCACACTGTATTACAAAGGATCAAATAATAATAATTTTAAAAAGGTGGGAAATAGATGGATCTTTGTTTTAGATATACAAGGGAAATAATTATGCTTGCTTGAAAAATGACATTAACTAAGGTGATTTGCATATGTACATTTCAGCACATCTTGCAATAAAATGAAGAATATTGTGGTCTTTTGTCTTTTTTAGTAAAGGCTCCTAATTTTTTTCTTCTGCTCTCTTAGAAAATCTTGCTCCTCTGGGTGTGTATACCTTTAAAGATCTTTTATGAACATGAAATCAAAATCCTTTTGCTTTAGTTGCCACTGATCAGGCCAAATCAGGCAGGACCGGCACAGAGGAAAGGAGCCAGGATCTGAGGCCGGGCACAGGGGTGAGCACCACTCTCCGCCCTCACGGGCCACAGCAACCCACGTAACCTGTCTGTGCCTCTGTTTCTACCTAATTAAAATGCACACACAACAATATCCACCCCCAACCCCCAGACTTGTAATCAATGAAACACTGCATGTAAAAGAGAGCTAAGTAAACATTAGCCACAGTCCGTGTCTTCATATTATCATCATGGTAATTTAAAACCTGCTGGGGGTTTAGAGCAGAGACCCTTGTCATTGGAAGGAGAAAGGCACAGGGACAAAATATAGAAAGGGGTCCTCAGCTTAAGGAGGAAATAACTAATGGGTGAGGGTCTTAAGACGTGAAAGCCTGGAAGACTCCTGGATGCCTTAGCACTGTAAATGACTCTGGTAAGTGTTGAGAAAACCAACATTTACAAAGGACTGTGCGCAAGTGAGGCCTCCAAATTCCTGTTTCCTGATCCCAGAAACGCTGAAGATTTAATTACCCAGTGGCCTTTCCTGAATATCAGAGCAGGAACCCCCGTGAAGATGTTTTATTGCCATCTGAAGCCCAAGGTGTCACTGACACTGGCACACAAGTTCCTGAGGTGGTGGGACCCCCAGCTAAGCCAGAACCAAGAGTAAAAGGAAAAGGCTTCCAGAAGCTTCCATCTAAGTGTGAGTGGTGCACCTGCTCCAGCTGCCAGCCAGTCACCCAGCCTCACTTCCGCTGACACCCAGAGAGCAGGACTCTTCCCTAACATGCTGCATGTCCACAGAGCCCTCGTGTACACATCCTGCTCTCATATTCTGATTTGTTACCCTTCAAAATCACAGGTGACTGACGCTAGTGTTTTATCCCTCAGCTTAAATCCAAATCAAGCCAGCGCTCTGGAAACCAACACTCCTGGCTTTCCAGAGCATGGAGCTCACTGCCTTGGGTGACAGGGCACTCTCCTTTTCCTAAGTTTTTTCTTTTTGTACACTCACGATAATCAGACTTTGGTGGAAGGGCAAAAAACAAAAAAAGAAAGAAAAAGAAAAAAATCTTTACTTTCTTTACCCACATATGGAGATTTCCATCTTAAACAAATCCTATTTGTCTAGTGTTTATTTCTGAGTCATTCAAAGTTGTTCTTGTTGTCATTTATCTCCCCAGCATCACAGTGAAGGTGAGCTTCCTGCTTCCCAGCTCTGACACTCCAGCTGACATCAACTGTCCCCACTGAGGGACAGTAATCACAGCAGTGGCCTTGCCAGGCCGCCATGCACAAGGAGGAGCGATGGACAGATGGCGGACAGCAGAGCCACTGGCGGGGCAGCCGATTCCACTAGCAGCCAGTGGGGAGAGAGAGGAGGGCCCTCTGTCAGGGCACCCAGAGGGGAAGAAAGAAAAGGACTTCAGTCTCGAACCTGTAATAATAACAGAAGTGGGGACTGTGCCTTTGGCTGCACTTCTCTGGGGAGCTAGGAACAAAATACAATCAATGCTGATCACCCTTTACGTGGGTGCTGAGCTTAAGTAGAAAACAAACAAGTATGAATTGAAACCTTTCCCTCAATACTCCGTTATTTCTGTAAGGGTGACTCCGCAGGTTCAATACTGCACATTAAGCTGAGCTATAACAAAGGACATTTCAACTTCTTCCCATGGTGGTAAATTTCTAGAACTCCTACAATATGCAAAGATATCCATGAAAACTCCCAGCCGAAATATGCAAGGAATTTGATTTTTTACCTAACAGAACTGCAGCGAAAATCACCTTTATGCTCTACCTCAGCAATCAACTCAGCAAAACATCAATTTTCTAAGAGAATTGAAAGAAAAATGCAGCTGATCGCTTTTATCACACATTTGGTTCCTTGGGGTTGGAGCTGGATGATTGGAGATGGTGTTAAAGAATCAAGGTGAGGAGCCATGAAACCTTTCAGGAAAGGGGGAGAGGCCCCATTTAACAGCCAGTCAGATCTCTCGACAGCTGCAACGAATTAAGGAGCAACAGATTCTGGATGTGTCTTTTGTTTTCCAAAATGTACCAAGACTTGTCTGAAGAAGTGAAGTTAAGATAGCAGAGGGAAAGGCGGTTGGTGGTGGGGTGGGGAGGTTGCACCTTCACTGGCTTTCTGGTGATCTCTGCCCAGCTCTTCCCTAGAATCCACTGGGCTCTCCCGCGCCCGGTTCCTGGCCTCCCGCGCTGCTCCTGACTCCCTCCTCTCCCACTGTCAGCTCTGCACAGACACAACCGGACTTGAAGCAACACTTCTGAGCGACAGCCATGCTTTCCATCAGACACACTTGCAAACTGGACAAAGGCCCACAAAGGTTCCTCTTCAACAGGACTTTTCTTTTATGTATTAATACGTATAAATATTATTCTTGCCACATGATTCGCAAGACACTAGATAAGACTGGTCATGAGTGAGCCTCGTGTTAAAATGAGCAGCGGCTGCAGGAAATGTCTGCCTGGATGAGGGGTAGCCAGTGATAACAGAAATGAATAAACAGAGTGATCAATGACTGGCTGCTAATTGGGACCAATGAATCTTTGACAAGTCAGCAAGAAACTGATCCCATTCTCTCTGACAGTGGCCTTTATAAAATTAGTAATATTTGGGCTCTCCCTGGTGGCACAATGGGTTAAAGCACCACATTATGAGGCTCTCCGAGGCCACTGCAAAACAAGTTCAATCCCCAGTCGGCCAGGGAGCTGACCCATACGGCGTGGCAGACCTCTTCTGACCTGCCTGCTGTTCCCCTCGGCAGTGTACTTTATCAGTCCGCCTGTTCTGCTCCCTGCTCTGTCTCTGGTGAATACTCTAACCACCCTTGTGCCTCTGGCCTGTACCCAGTTCTGTATGCATAAATACATAAATCTTTAAAAAAAATAGTAATATCTGATTTACAGAAATAGCTAACAAATACTGAAGCCAAATGTTAGCTGTTACTCAAATACCAAAAATTTGGAGATAGGCAGGAGAGTGATAGCCTTGAAAATGTCATATTAAAGTTCAAAAAACTATCTCTAAACTCCAGAATACTTTGAATTACTGGATTAGAAATTTCTTAAATCTATTTTAAAAAGTCACTTTTTTTTCTGTTAAAAAAGTTAGTTTATAGGAGATCAGCAGATCTAAGTGTCATTATGAAATACATGGAAATGAGACAGATTCAATTCTGGAACCATTTTATGTCTATCTTTGCTTTGCTGTTTGCTTTAATTGCTACTTTTGGTAAATACTGTCTTGTCATAAACGCTATTAAAATATCGCTAGAAGGAACAGAGCGCCAAAATAGGATGAACATATAATAAATTTCTAGCCAACAGTGTTCACGTTCACTATAAGAAAGCAAATTCAGTGACAGACATTTAGGAAGTGTTTTCTGGAGGAGGTGGCTTAGGTACAGTTCAGTCAGGAGAGCGCCTTACCTCTGAAGCATCTTCTGGAACTGGGGTGATAATAAAGTTCATGATTTACCAAACAGTATGGAAATTGTGTTCTTGGGTCAACAACAATGAAAAGATCAACATAGAGGAACTGGAGGCGGGAAGGTATAGATCAATATAGCCGAAGTGGGCAAATGGCTGCCTCTGGTGATGATCTCCACAGGCCTGGTGCAGAACTCTGAGCCCTGCCTTCACCACAACAGCCCCACGGTTTACTCACCATGCATGCCTGAAATGATGCAGGGATCAGGGACTGGTTGGACAGGTTGAGCATCCTGGAGGAGTCCCTCAGGACATAGATACTGCCAAAGTCAATGTGAGGAGGATAAATATAGACAACAGGGCCTTCTCCGATGCTCTTTAAGTGACAGACCTGCATTGCACACAGGAGAAAGAGCACAGGAGTGACTGAAATGGCTGGCTCATATAATCAAGGGAAACAGATTTCCAGGCTCCCCTTTCACAAAAGGCGGGGGTGTAAGGGAACTTATGAGAACTGGCATCCCTTCTATCAGGACTCTGTGATCAGAGGGACATGGGGTGGCCTGCTGGGCCAGTCCTGTGAATCGTGACTGAAGTGCCCCCTCAAGAAGGATGATCTGCGTCTCTGAGTCAGCCCAGAGCCGCGCAGAGCTCCAGCAACACCAGAGCTCCACGGGCCAGTCACACTCGCCAGAGATCGCGAGCACGGGGCGGAGGGCTGACACCTGAGCATCGGTGTGGCTGGAGAGAGTCCCAGTTCCGGCGCTTTACATAACAGGGCTGTCCACGGCACACAGGGTTGACCACACTGACAAATACAATGGGCACTGCTCCCCCTTTTTCCCTGTCCCTTGGGCCTGCCAAGTACCAGGCGTCCAGGGGGGTTATAACCTGCTGGGCAGCGTCCTCCAACAGCTCAGGCAGTGGAGGGTGGCTGGTCTCCCTCTCCTCTCACTTGGAGCCAGCCTAAGCCATGAGCGCTTCAGTGGGTCACTTTGGGCCATAGGTCCAGTGACTACACAGGAAGAGATCTGGTGAGCAGGGTGTGAATGAACCCCACCTTAGAGCCTACCTGCAGCAAGGCAGCAGGACCCTGCTTAGGACCAGATTCAGAACGGGGTGGCTCTCTCCCCTCAAACACTGGTTAACCAGCCTGGAGAGGGGGTGGGCGGCAAACACAGACTTAGATGCATCAGCACAGGCTCCCAAGGTCACTGGCACTTAGCGACTGCACACCGGAAGCGTAAAACTCTGGAAGTCCATTTGGAGGATATGGGAAGTGGTGTGGGCCTTAGGTGAGGAGATTTTGAAACACCTGACTGAAACTAACTACCAACATGTCATCATAACAGCAATGCGGAAAATTGGTGCTCACCATTGGGGGCTCCCGGCTCCCGAAGGTCAAGATGTAAACAGTGGACCTGTGCTCCCCTGTGACCTGGGTCTCCAGGGCCAGAGGGATGTGGATCGTGCTGTGGGGAGGGATGACCCCGCAGGGGCTGGGGCTGGAGAGCAACACAGCGGGCGAATCCTTGGGGACCTGGCGGGAGAGGTGAGTCAGAGGTTACCCACCCGCAGCAGGTTAATTTGAAATGTGTGTTGTCCTGGGCCTGCAAAGGTTCTTTAGCTATTGTTCGAGCAAGTAAGTGAGGATGAGCATCCTGATCCAGCCTAAAGGAGTGAAGCAGCCTCGGAAGGCCCCCAAAGTACACACCCCAGCGAGAGGCAGAAAGTAGCCACAGCACCAATTAGCTTAGGATGACAGTGCCCCACATTCCTGCACCCACCACTACACCGCCACTCTCGGTCCCCACTGCCTTGTCCCTCTGTGGTTCACCCAGAGAGGCCACCAGCATCCCATGAGCGTGTGGCACACCGCCCCTTCCACCTCCAGCCAAACCCTCTGCTTTTTTTAAAAAAAATTATTATATATATTTTTACATCATTCTTCATTCTGTGCATTTTCTCATCTCAGTTGTAATTCCCATGGGCTTCCCACCACCAGTTCACCCATGTGCCATCACCACAGTACAGTGCACTCTCCCACCCCAGTTCTGATCCCATTCCCTTTTCCACCCCCATAAAATGTCTCTGGTTTACAGTTGCTCACTGTTATCATTTTTACTCTATTACATTTGTTTCTCTCTCTATATATTCTCTCCCACCCAACCCACCCCGCCCCAATCCCTTACACTCCTGCTATGAGTGAAACCATCAGTATTTTTCTTGTTCTTTCTGGCTTATTTCACTAAGCATGATCCCTTCCAGCTCCATCCATGTTGCTACAAAAGGCATGAGCTTATCTTTTTGATTGCTGAGTAATATTCCATTGGGTATATGTATCACATCTTTTTAATCCAGACATCTATTTTTGGGCATTTTGGTTGATCCCATGTCTTCCCTATTGTAAACAGAGCAGCAATAAACATGGGGATGAAGGTGTCCTTTTAAATCAATTTTTTTGTGTCCTTTGGGTAGATACCTAGGAGAGTGATTGCTGGATCATATGGAAGCTCCATTTTTAGCAGTTTGAGATGCACTACACAAAAGAGACACCCCACTGATTGAAAGGAAGTATTTGCACACAATACTAATGACAAAGTACTGCTCACAAAGATATACAAAGAGTTGGTCAAATGCAACAAAAATAAAGTGAAAAACCCATCAAAAAAAGGGCAGAAGAGGGCCCTCCCTGGTGGCGCAGCGGGTTAAAGCACAGCACTGAGAATCTAAAGCCGCTTCCGCATGAGTTCAATTCCCGCCTGCCCTCGAGGTGACCACATGGCGTGGCAGGCCTCTCCTGACCCACCCGCTGCTCCCCTCAGCAGTGTACTTCGTCGATCTGCCTGTTCTGTTCCCCGCTCTGTCTCTGGTGAAGCCTCTCACCGCCCCTGAGCCTCTGGCCTGTACCCCAGTTCTGTATGTACAAATAAAAAAAAAAAAAAAGGGCAGAAGAGCTACAAAGACACGTCCCCCAAAGAGGAAATACAGATGGCCAACAAACATATGAAAAAAATGTTCAACATCACTTGTAATAAGGCATATTAAAACCACAATGAGATACCACCTCACACCAGTGAGAACGGCACATATTAAAACAACTAGCAACAACAAATGTTAGAGAGTGTGGAGAAAAAGGAACTCTCCTGCACTGCTGGTGAGACTGCAAACTGGTACAACCATTATGGAAAGCTGTTTGGAGGTTTCTCATACCCTCTGCTTTCAGCCAACTTGTGCCTGGCCTTGATATTCGCAGCAACCTCAGGGATCTGGGGCTAGGGCAGGGCATAAGTAGAGGCAGGTAGACCTCTGCAGCCCTCTTCCACAGCACACACTGTATGTTTCTCCGACTGTGAGCTCAGAGCCTGACCTAGCCTCTCCTCAAAATACATCTGCTTTTCTCGGCCTCAAATTTACACTCAGTGTACATTTTCAAATGGGAAAACAGGTGGGAGAATAAGTGAATGACTGAACACTACCCAGTGTTATCAGTGGAAGTTGCTCAGTGTCCTGGCCTATGGTGAATTGATAGCTTTTATACAATTACAACAGCAAATAAAACTAAAAATCCTGTGGCTATGTACGTTTGGGTGACTCTGATGATATTTCAGAGCCTTGGCTCTGGGAGAAAAGGATAGGTATGCAGGTTTCAGCCTCTGGAACACTCTGGCCTGTCTGTGCTGTTCGAATCTAACTCACCTGCCTGAGCAGTGGGTTCTGCCCAGCCAACCCAGCGCTGAGCAGATGGGAGAGACAGTAAAGCTGATGCTGTCTTTTTTAATATTTTCATATTTTGATCACCATGGATTTTCTTGGTATTTACTTTTGGTTTCTTAAACAGACACGTGAAAACAATGTTTCTCTCGACTGATAAAGTTCTGAGCTCCTCTTTTACCTATTCCCAACCCAAACGTGCAAAAATAACTCCCCCTTCACCCCGATGCTGGCTCGGCTCTCAGTTCTTGAGGTGACCATGGCTGAGCTTCTCAAAGTTAGAAAAGCTGTTGCCCATCCCCCACCCATGGCCTCCAGCTTTAGTCAGGGAGCAGGTAATAAATTAATACTAATTCCCTGTCACACTGCAGCCCTTCAACTAGGCACAGGTGGCTAGCTCATCCCAGCCAAGCTTTCTCGGGCTCTGCTCCTTGTGTGACTTCTTTCCACATGCCACAGATTGCCACTCCGGTAGCCACAAACGCAATTCATTTTCTTTCAAGTTTCCAATTTTTCTTTTTAATGTCAAGATCTGAAAAGAAAATTCTGACACTCCTTTGATGAGCGTCTCTTTCCTTGCACACCCTGGGCCATCCCCAGCCTTCCCCCAGCTGAGGCGTCTCCCTGACGCAGCCTCTAAGCCTGCCTTGGTTCAGCAGCCCTACACTAGTCTTTTAACTCTTTTTGAACTTTGACCCAAATAACCCTTCTCCTGCCCCCTGCCGCTTGACCTTCTAGGGCACAGATTTTTACTACAGTGCTATACTTTCAGAATTGTGTTTTAAAATCCAAATGCACTCTTGGAAAACGGCATACCTCAGTAACCTTCCATGATGGTAGTGCAACGCCTGCTGAGTCTCCTACGCCCACGTTACTCTGCGTGATCTCCCACCTGTCCGGCTGCCATGGCATATAGGCAGACCCATTCAGAAAGCATCAGTGCACCATTCCTCCTTTCTGCTCTCCAGCGTTGTGGTCCAACAAGTCCCATTATTAACAACGCGTCACTGCATCTAGGGACACCCTTCTAGCCAAGGACCTAAATGGACATCCCCAGTTCTGCTTCAGTTCCCCTGCAGGGTTAACTCACAGGGAATTATTTGTGTGTGTTGGTTTAGCTGACCCTTTCCCTTCTTGAGCAAAGGCAAATTCCTCGGAGAAATTAGCAACTGTTTCCAGCCACCATTGACCACCCGTGCAGGGGGCAATCCAGCTGTGGTTTTGTCACCCATCCCCAGCTTACCCTAGGGATGAGCATCAGAACTGTATGACAGTCCTGTGTTCGGGAATAGGGCTCTCTGAGAGGCCTTTCTCTCTGAGGGAGCCCCTGGGAGAGTTGGCTCTGAAGCAGGCATGAGTGGCTCACCTGCGGCAGGACCTCGTAGCTTCCTGGGAGGTCGTCGTGATTGACGAGCTGGATGGACTTCTCGTAGGGATACTTCAGGAAACAGCGCCCGAAGTCCACCTCTGTGTTAACCATGTGGAGGGCAGGCACGATGCACCTGCTCCCAGGAGCCCGGGAAAGAATTCAGGAGGACAGAGCTTGTTTACACATGCAGAACCCAGAGTCCCGAGTCGGGCACATCAGTCATTGTCACATAGTTGTTTATCTCTAATAACCACATTAATCATTTTCAAATCTGCTCTATCATGCCCCTCCCTTAGCCCCCAGTCACCACTTTTTAATCAAAAAAGGACTAGAAGCAGGACTCCTTCAGCAGCTGACTTCGCTGGCTAATGACTAACATTTCCATTGCTTCTCAGAGTTGGCCTTCTTTTCGCAAGGGGCTCCCAGAGCACAAGTTCCTCAGGCTGGTGGATCTGGCTCCATGACAATAGGGCCAGAGCCACCAGCATGGGGTCCTAACTGGCTGTGACACTTTGGACCAGTCAGAGGCCCCCAAGGGCCAGCAACAGCTCCCGCCACCTAAATAATGATGATAATTCTAATTCCTATGCAGAACAGCTGTCTTGGATCAGCAGGCGCAGGCAGCTGCTCTCCAGAACTGGCACCCTGCCCGAGGTTCTCAGTAAGCGGAAGGTGTGGAGGGGAGAGAGCTGTGTGCGGGGGAGGAGGACTGAAGCCCCGTGTGTGCGGCTGGTCTATTATTAGGTGACTTGGGTGTTAGTTTGTGTCTGTGCATCTCAGAGTTGGCCCTGCCCTGGCACACTGTCATGCCACTCTGCATGACTCGGACAGACCAGGCCAAGGACTCACCTGACCAAGTGCAGCCTGCACCACCTGAAGTAAATTGCTTTCTCCCCGTCACCCCATTGTGCCCAGAGGTAAAATGAAGGGTGATTCTGGGAGTTGATGTTAGCATTTTTAGTGCTTCCAAGGGTGCTGTGAGAAATGCAGAAGAGGATGTGAGTGAAGGAGGAAGCAAGTGTCCCATATAGGCTGGCTAAGGGGGCCAAGCAGCGTGGAGGACATGGCAGGCAGTCACTGCCAGCGACTCCCTGGAGAATCACTTCAGGAGGCAAGTTCAAAAAGCAGTTATCCTACAGATAACACTTAGAGGAATGACATTAAAATGGATTCTTACTAACCCTAAGATCTAGTACCAGATGGGGGTTCATTTGTATCTAGAATGCAGGTTGTCAGACGACCTGGCTTTTACAAAGCTGCCCCTTTCCTACCTGAAGCACTGTGGCCAAAAGGGTTTCTAGAATGTGATTTGGGTCTGGAGTAAGAAACTCCTAGGGACCTTTGTTTTTAAATTCAGGATTTCCTATTGATAGCTATAGAGGAAAAGGGAAGGAAAAGTATCAGGAAAACCCCACACAGAAAAAAATAATACTAGACCAAAAAGAAAAACTTGGGTACACAGAAGACTAGACGAAAGAGTGCTTGCTGCTGTCAAGCGAGCAGAACAATCCGCTGTGTCTCTGGAGGAAGCCCTTCACGGTCTTTCAGCACTGCTGTCTGGCTTCACCAAGCCTTAGCACATGAAGTGGGGGCAGTAAGAAACTGCCCCCTCCTCAAGGCACACTGCACTCACATTCACAAGAGAGACCCACATTGTAGGAACTGAAAAGTCGTCAGAGAGTTTGACAAGGTCCCTTTCTCTGTGTCCTATACATGACATTTTCAGATCACACTGCAAAGTCCTAAAGTGGACACCACTTGCTTTGGTGAGTGTGTGTGACCCATGATCTGATTCTGGGTCACTGCATCATCAGCAGATGACACAATAGCCTTCATCGGAGAGGCTGGGACGTGGTCAAGCAGACACACTCAGCAGCTGGTTGGCAGAACCCGAACTCGACCTGACTCCAGAACTCACCACCGCCTCCAGTGAAAAGTAGCGGGATTGCTGATGGCCTGGGGTGGGGATAGGGGCCGCGGGGGTAGATCTGCTGCCTCATCTGGGGGCTGCTGGCGGCCTACCTTCCCATCATGCCACAGTGTGGCAGAGGTGGAACATCTTGCCCAGTGGCTCTTCCACACCAGGGCTGGGAGCACTGCTCTCTGCCGCCAACCCCTGGAGCACCAAGTTCAAAGACAAATCAAATCCAGCAATGCTTCCCCTCTTCCTGCTCACACTCTTCTACTTCCACTGACAGTGAGCCCCATCGGAGAGGGCTGTGGTTCTTAAGACTGTAGTACACACATCCCTTCAGTCTCCACCAAAGGCGCACTAGACGCCTATGCTGCTTTAAAGCTTTGTCATTTATGAGACTCAGATTCCCTTCCCAGGAAGGCAGAGCAAACACAGTGTGAAGGGGCTGCAGGCATGTCACCTGCTGTAGGCTCAAGGGGAGCACAGGGTACCTGGCCGTAATGAGGAGCGCCAGCACCTCCTCTCCAACGCCCTCCACATCGACCACCAGGGCCAGCTCGTACTTCTGCACGGTGTTGGAGCATAAGGTCACCTGCAAAGAAAAAGGTGCAAGGCGTTCTTCCACAAGGCCGGCTGCTGCACAGGGCGGCAAGGAGCTCAGGGCAGCACCTCAACGGCCGGTGGCTTTCAGGGCTTCCTGGGACATGGTGTGTGTACTATGTTTGGCTGAACAAGGAGTCAGGGCTACTGACTATTCTCAGGTTAGGAATCAAGTACCATAGATTCACTCATTGCAGGCGAGGTGCAGCAAAGAAGACACAGAAGTGCACGAGGGGGAAATGACCCTGAAAGTTTAACAGCAGCAAGCAAGGTTTAATTACTGCGACTGCAGTTGTTCCCTACGCCTCCGGGCTACGTAAATCATGAAAATTCAATATACCAATAAGACATGAGAGCTAAATTTCTCTTACAGCAAAATAAATGAACATGACCATGTCAGTTCCTGGAAATGGCATAAGAAATCAATGAGTTGTTGTTTTACCAAAGTCTTGTTCTTCTCATTCCCTGCCCCCCTTCACAATTCATTATTATAACAGAAAATAGGAAGCGCCAAAGGAAAGTCTACCTGAGAACAATACCTGGTTGGAACAGCTTACCCTGTGTTTTTAGTTGCTGTTGTGAAATGTTATATGTAGGCTTCTGAATGCGCCCCGTTATAATTTTTAATTGCTTTGAAATGATTTATACTTGAAGAGATACTTGTTAGTCCAGAAGACAGTTTCTGGCAGAGGTTAAGGTTTTTCTGTCTATAAATTATGTATCTGGTACTAATTAAAGTTGTTTTGGCTGCAGAGGGAATCCCTGGATGCAAATAATCTGCATCCAGACAGACCCGGTACCAGTGCAGATCCAGAAGGAAAATTAAAGTCTGGAGAAAGCCTTTCCGAAAAAAAGGAAAATCAAGTGAAGATAAGAGTCATGGGCTCAGGAAGAAAATCTGTCAGATTTGGGGAGAAGCAGCTCCCCAGCACCGGGAGAAGGCAGAGAACGAGCGGTCCTGGCAGAAGGCTGCTGGATAGGTGCAATGTCTCCTCTCTGCACTAAATCAGAGAGACAAAACAATAAATAACAGTAACTGGGGAGCTAGATGACATCCAAGCTGAGCATCATAAGGAAAAGAGAAGTGAACGCACTGCAGCAGAAACTCCACTAACAACTCTGTGGCCTAGAATGTGTGTGTTCCCCACTCATGCACCCCAGAGGGCTGTTCACATTACCCTGACAGCAACAAATCCCTGGGGGCGAATGGTGCCGGTCTCGGGAGTGATGGTGAATTCTTTTGGCTTCACCGTGGGGGACTCATCACTGTCCCATGATAGTCGTCTGTTATCCGGCTCCTGCTGGCATCTTGCAATGCTTTTATGGCCAGCACCATCCCCAGGGATGCGCAGCTTGAAGGTCATGGGGACCAAGGAGGTGTTGTTGAGAGAACATGTCAAAGTCTGAGGAAACCCTGGAGAAGAAACAGAGGTGAGAAATGAAAGTCCACAATAGCCTCCCTTTCACCTCAAGCTCCCTGGCTACCATCCAACCTCCTAAGTTAACAGTTTCTGCACCCCTCATTTGTCCTCAGCGACCGCCCCCCCCATACTATTTTCAATTGTGTGATCAGTACATACATTTTCATTCATCCCATGAATACTTATTGTGTCTTTATTATGGCAGTCGATAGAACCAAACCCTGTTGAGAGGCAGTCTCTATTATCAGTTTGCTGAGTAGTCTTCTTGAAGTACACTTCACATTTAATTTTTGCATAGAAATACATTTTTCAAAAAAAAAAAACCCAAAAAACAAAAACCATGCTTTTTTACCTGCCAAGTGTGGATACAAAGAGAAGGTTGTGAGGGTTTGCCTGCAGGGTGACCCCAAGCCTGCCAAGTCCTAACCTAATTTATCCTGGCTTTATCTGATGCTCACACTCTCGGGGTAGATAACACAAAATCAAATAGTAGTCTCTTTAGGGCAGAGATTACTTCATCTGCTTCTGAATCGGCCAGAGACTTATGCCTGGCTTTGATCTCCCTTAGACAAAATGGCTTTTGCGTGTTCTATCTTACCCCCACAATCAGCTGATGAGACTCATGTTCCTTTCCTAAGAGACAGTGCTCTTCCTCACCTGGCAAACTATAAGCTGGGCTCTGCCTGTGGATTCCTGAGGTAGCTGCTGTATCTGCTACCACTTTCAGAAAGCAAACTGTCCACAGCCAGGAGAACAAGTTCCTCCTGTAGGTTAACTCTGCTCTTTCTGCCTCACACCCAATAGCAACAGAACACATTTTAGTCTCTGGGAGGAATGACCTCCATGGGGCAAGGAGCCAGGGGCACGGGGTGGGAGTTTGAAAGAATCTACTTTTCCCTTCAGGTCTGAACCTTTGTCTGGACCTGAGGACAGTGGAAACACCGTGCAGTTATCCTTTGTGACACCAGCCCTGTGGGTCTGTTATCTGTGGAAGATCTTTCATGGGATAAGAGCTATCAGGTAAAGTGTGGTTGAGGAGTTATTCTTGGAAATTCCAAAGAAGTACCCTAGAATAGGCCTCAGAGTCATGTAAGGGCCACATGGACCTTCTCTGAGCTTGTAAAGCAGAGACTGAAAAGCTGCAGGTTCCTTCCCCTTACTTGACCTGATTCCTTACAGGCTGAACATTCTTCTAATGTCAGGTCTGTTAAGGAGTTGGTCATAGAAAGCGTTAGATGGGCCCTTCCAAACTGCTGCTCAGACAACTTCCCTAAAGCTGGTTTTTCAGAGAATAAAGTCAATTATAACTTCCTAGCTAGACAATTCCTTGTACAACAACCGCTAATGCCCTGTGTTGCTGGTCAAGAAACCTAATGAGGATATTGGCTAATTATTAAAGACCAAGGGGTGATAAATAAGAACGCCATGCCTCTGCTTCCAGCTGGACCAGATCCAAATGCTGTTCTGTCTTTCATTCCCACTGAAAGCAAGTACTTCTCTGTATAGACCTCTCTTTTCCCTTTTCTAGCATCTGGTACATAAAAACTCAAGATTTATATGTCCTTTCTTGGAATAACTAAAACACACTTGGATAGGCTGCCTCCAAGATTCACAGAGGCACCTACATACTTGTCCCAGTGCTTAAATAATGATTCAGAAGACAACATGCTCAGGAGATTGAATTCTCCTTCAATATGTGTATTTTCACTTGACCTTGAATGCCCGTAAGATTCCTGAATGAAACATGGAGCTAAAGATCACACGCTAGGCAGGAAAAACTTCAGTTCTGACAAAAAAGAATACTTGATTTGGAAATTGATCTCTCCTGTAAAGAAGGGACACTGGCTAAGGACAGAATTAAATTGCTTCAGCAATATCTATCCCCAAACATTAAAATTATGATTGACAGACTTTTGGGGATACATGGGATATTTTAGACAATGGCTCCTAATTTCTCTAGTGAAAAAAAAAAATCTCAACAAGGCGAAGGGAAATACCTTAGCAGGTCTCTGTACAAAACAGGTTGCCTTTTTGTAGTTTTCTACAGAAACAGTTCAGAATATGGGAAAGAAATAAGCACATATATGCAATCCATTCTGGACATAAAACTTCCAACCTCTACCTTGAAAACAAATATTCTCTAGAATTGGAATCCTCTATCCACTTCAAACGTCTCTGATAAGTCACAGCAATGGTGTGCCCTCCATTTGGAACTCATCTTTGAAAAAAAAAAATCTTAAACCACACACTCCATCATAGTACAGATAAGATAAACCTCTGAATAAGAGATGTTGGGACCATCTCTCCTCTGTAGCTAGGACCCTGGCTGGCTCCTCTTTTATCCTCTAAAATCATATTTCAGGAAAATAGCAGTGGGACATGAGTTTCAAATACAAAGAGATCATGCCCAAGGCACAAAAATAAGAAATGTTCTTGTGGTTGGCTGTTGGATGGTCCACCATTATTTAGGTGGATTTGAGCCTTCCTATGTAGAAAGTTTGTTGCCAGAACCATGACTACCAAGTTGTAGGATATAACTTTCCCATCTGAAGGAATTAGAAAGTAATTCTTTGAGAATTACAAAGATTCTCATAGTCAACCATTTGATCAAAAAATTTCACAGTGTCTAATTCTTGGCAAACATGGAGCATAAAGAAGGTATTGTTGATCTTAAATTGGTCATGTTCAGAGGCTCTGGCTTTCTTTGGTTGTAGTGGCCATTCGATCAGGTTAGTCCACTCTGGAATGCACAGATTATGTAACTAGCCACGTGACCACAAGTGTCTAACCAATCACAACCGAGCTTGCTTCATGTGGATAAAACTAAATGTTGAGAACCAACTTGGCTGTAAATTCAAGAAGCCATCAATAAAACCTCTCAGAAAGTCTCCCTTCTTTCAACCTCAACAACACAGGTAGTCTTCATTAGGGCTTTCTAACACCTGCAGTTAACTATGCGCTGAGCTTTGAGAGAAACTCCTCAAAGAGGATGAGAAAAAGACTGTGAAGGTAGGCTGGTTCAGCCTCTGTGGAAAATAGTATTAGGGACATTTCTCAATATATTCAAAATAGATTTACCGTATGAACCAGCAATCCCACTCCTAGGTATCTACCTGAAGAAACGCAAAAACATTAACTGGAAGGGATACATATGTGCATTCCTATGTTCACTGCAGCACTATCAATAGTAGCCAAGCTATAGCGACAATCTAAGTACCCGAGACAGATGGGTGGCTTAGCAAGAGCAGTATGCACACAATGGAACACATCTCAGCTACTTAAAGAAGCAGGAAAGATAAAACCTTGCCATGTGTCACACATGGATAGAACTGGAGGGATTATGACTAGTGGAGTAAGTCAGGAGAAAGACAAATACAGGACAGTGTCACTTGTATGAGGAATATAGAGAAACAACAAAAAAAAAGGGTCAGATAAATCCAAAGCAATCATAACTAGAAATCTGACGATAGAACTGAAGCTACTAGAGGGGAGAGTCAAGAAAAGAGGGGAACATGGGACAATGGTTGAAGACCATGGGTGCCTGGTGGTGGGTGTGGTGTGACATACATCTGAAGTGGGTGATCCTCTAAGCCTGTGTTATCTCAATTTTAAAAGGTTCAGTCAAAATGTAAGATCCTTACAAAAATCAAAGCAATGGCTGAGGTATGTGAAAATTATTATTACTGGAGATCTTAAATGGAAGTTTTCTAAAAAAACCAAAGTTTCCAGAAGTCAATCAGTAATAGATTGCTATTCCAAGCTCCTCAGAACAAGGCTGACAGAACAAGATTTTGCTGGATACTGATTCTCATACTTTCCATTGCATATTCTATTTTTTTTAAAAAAGATTTATTTATTTATTCATACAGAACTGGAGTACAGGCCAGAGATGTGGAGCGTGATAGGATTCACCAGAGACAGAACGGGGAGCAGAACAGGCAGATCGACGAAGTACACTGCTGAGGGGAGCAGCAGGTGGGTCAGGAGAGGTCTGCCACGCCATGTGGTCACCTCTGGGGCAGGCGGGGATCGAATTCATGCTCAAGTGGCTTTAGCTTCTCAGTGCTGTGCTTTAACCCGCTGCACCACCAGGGAGCGCTGCATATTCTATTCTTTCTCCTTTCTATTATGATTCTCTGTTACTATCTTAAGGTTACACAATTCTAATATCCCTGTGACCGCTCCCTTATAACTGTTCATGAAAACTCGCTTGCATCCAGGTTTTCTGTGTCCTGGAGTGATCTCTTCCATCAATCTCTCTGAGACCTGTCTATGATTGTCACAGTTAAGCTTTGCCCCTGCCTCCCTACTTTACACCCTCCTGAAGTCAATTTAGCTACTTTTCCTTGGGTAAAATGCTGTCAGCTCATACCTGGCTGCAAAAGTCCATGGAAGAGATAACTATATACACACACACACACACATATGTATTTACCCCAGCAATTCTACACTCAAACCCTAAACTTCTGGGTCCAAAATTTCCAGCAATCAAGTCTACTGAGATTCTGGATTCTTCTAAATTCATTATTATCATTCCGTCATTCTTTTACCTCCTAAAAAATAGTAGGTTTGCAGACACTTACCTGGTCCCTTGTGGTCCTTCACCTGGCACATGAGTTGCTACTTGGTCCATTTTATTCTCTGACCAATCTGAGGATTTCTCAATGTCTCCTGTTCTTTCAGGAACAGTCTCCACCCAACTTCCTCAACACCACTGTAGTTTCAGTCCATCTGACAACTAGCTATGTCATCCATCACCTAATCCTACCATGGAAACTTTTATGGCTAGACTTGAAACATTTTAGAAACCAACCAACAGCACTCTTCCTTTTCTCCTACCATAGGTATTTTTAATATCCTAACATCGTGAATCCCAGTGGGCCCTGATGCCACATCTAGATTGTATCTCTAAGCAAGTACATGCCAGTCTCCAACACTAAGCTAAAACAGGTCTCTCTTCCAAATGGCCTTTCTGGATGTTCCAGGGGAGAGAGTCTATTCCTAAGTTTTTTCACTTTCTTGAAGTCGCCCACATTCTTTGGCTCATGGGCTCCTTCTGCTGTGTTCAGATCCAGCAATGTCGGGTGAAGTCCTAGCTTTGCATCACCTGGTCCTTTAAGCCACATTATATGAGGCCTGTGGCAAGCCAACCTCCTCACCTTAAACCTGAGAGCACTTCTGAAAAGGCTGCTGTAGCTAGACAGACTCGGGCAGGCAGCATCTACACAGAACAGAGTGCTCAGAAGGTGTGGGGGCCACTGGGGTCCAGAGAGGCTTAGGCCTTCTGCTACCCCACCACTGGCAGAGTGAGGACAGTGGGGTCTGACAGCTTGCCATGACCGGGACAGTTCCAACCTACACATATAAACTAGGAGATGACCCCGAGATGTCGCCCTTCCTTGCTGAGAGGAAAGAGAGAATGATTCAAGTCTCTCCCAGCCATTAGACATAAAATAATGGTGAGAGTGATTTGGTGATGGGAAGCCCACGGGGATTACAACTGAGATGAAAAAAATGCACAAAATGATGTAAAAATAAACTATTATATATAAAAAAATATGGTGAGAGGGTCTCTGTCAACTTTCTCCTCCCTGTGTAAAGAAAAGTAATTCTACTCCATTTCCAATGGAAAAATACTCACCAAAGGAAACATCACCAAAGTGCAGAGCAGGGACATTGAAGTGGAAGGTGGGGCCAATGACACAGCCTCTGGAAGCAGAAACACAAGTTGGAGAAGAGGAGAAGAATTCAGAGTGACAATCAGGAATTGGGAGGAGGTATGTGCTAAAAAGCATAATCTGGCTTTAAATCAATTATACAATGTAGGACTTAAAGACTCCGTAAGGTGATCATCTGCTCTAGTGGTTCAAAATCTCAAAACTACTGGGTTTTGGTAAATGGCGCTGTGGCTAACCTAGCATCATATTCTTATTCATGGATGAGGTAGGGCAGACAGGTCATGAAACTAAGGACTAATGGCACAAAATGTTAGTATGATGAAAGGTATTAACTCAGGCAAAAAATAAAATTACAGGTCGGATCAAATGATATAGACATTGAACACTCACTGCTTTTCCACATTTTTATAAAATTGTTTTAATCCAATTCTTCCTGTAGTTAGCTGTGACCTTTACTTGGTCACAGTTTCTTTTTCCTTGTGCATACGAGAGAGGGCTGAATCCGTAGCTTCTATGCTAAATGCTGGCCTCTTTCTCTCTCAGAGCAAGGCCTTTTGATAGTTGGGTGACATTCTAACTTAAAATTAGTAGCAGACTCTATACTTTGTGGCTGACTTCAAGTGTGGTAGGTAGTGCAATGGCTCCCAAGGGTGACTATTGATCCCTCAGAACCATGAATGTGCCAGGTTGCATGGCAAAGGTGGATTGAGGTAGCAATAGGGGTTAAGGCTGCTAATGAATTCTTAGGCTGGGGAGGTGGTTCTGGATTATGCAGGTGGGTCAAACACTGAAGAGCGAGGCAGAAGAAGAGATCAGAGTGAAGCAATGGGAGGACCCCACCGGCCACTCCTGGGGGGGGGGGCCCAGTAAGTCAAAGAATGTGGCAACTTCATGAAACAGAAATGGTTCTGTAGGAATGGATTCTCCCCTAAAGCATCCAAGACAGCTGTTAGTCTTGAGGTTAGTCCAGTAAAACCTTTGTTAGGCTTTAGCTCCACAGACATCTGAAAGAATAAATTTAAACTGATTTATTCATTTGTGCATACAGAACTGGGGTACAGGCAAGAGACTCAGGGGTGGCGAAAGACTTCACCAGAGACAGAGTGGGGAGCAGAACAGGCAGATCGACGAAGTACACTGCTGAGGGGAGCAGCGGGCGGGTCAGGAGAGGTCTGCCACGCCATGTGGTCACCTCCGGGGCAGACGGGAATCGAACTCATGCGGAAGTGGTTTCAGCTTCTTAGTGCAGTGCTTTAACCCACTGCGCCACCAGGGAGGGCCTAAATTTAAACTGTTTTAAGCTGTTAAGTTTGCTACTAAGTTATTAAGTAAGCTATTTGTTGTAGCAGCAACAGAAAACTAGTACATCAGCCTTGGTCCATATCTCTTAAAATCTCTAAATTGAAGGCAAGAATAGAAATAATTCCCTATCCATGCACCAAAATTTTGAAAAGTTACAGACACACAGATACCAGCAAACCCATGAAGCATGAATCTCCTGATCCACCTAGCTCCAGATGGTGGTGACGCAGGTGTGTCCCAACTGCTGAATGCACTAGAGACCTAGGGACACTTGCAACTCTTCAGACCTGAGCATAATGTGGTGAGAGGATATGAGAAGCCTAGGAGGTGTCATCACAGCAAAGATTCAGTATGGCAAGTTTCAGTTCTAAAAACTGTCTCAGAACCATCGATTCCACCTCATGCTAGTGATGCAGAGTGGCTTCAAGAGGACTCTGGTACTCAGCAAGGAACTAGGATACAGCAGAAGTCAAACAAGCCTACAGGTCAGATGCTTTACTTGTCAAAGGAATTTTGGGAGGCCAAGGTAACACGCTGATCAGAAGCATCTGAAATTCACAGAAGGCAGAAGAAAGTGAGAATGAGGCTCACAAACGTGCACAAAGCCATCATCAGTGCAGAGGTGAGTGCACCTGAATTAAAGCACATCTATTCAAAGGCTCAGATCGTGGCAGGCACAGCGACTGGGTGCCATCTGGACACAGGTTTGGTCACATTAATTCTAACAGAGGTGCTGAGCTTCAGCATCTGCCAAGATTGTGTCCTTCGTGAATTGATAGTCTTAAAATTAAAATTTTACAGACCAAGAGAGAGAATGATTGTATTATGTCAAGAGAACAAGTGGAGTGTAAAATACCATGGCGATGGTTAAAACTTCACAAAATATCTTTTTTGATTACTGAGTAGTAGCAGCAAGATAATTTTTTAAAATTTACAAAATACATATGTTAATTTAGGGTGGAATAAAAATGACTTGGAAAGTTTTCAAAATCACATTAATTTTAGAGTTGTGCATCCAACCAATTAAAATACTGAATCATGTAGTTGGAGAAGTAAATAGATACAGAAAAGTATAACTGATCTCTCAAGGCACATTAATCAGAATTATGTGATATTGAGGGAACTGTACCTGACAACATGAGAAGAAGAAACTAAATTCTAGAATCCGCCATATTAACTGTGTAGTGAGCTCTTGGGTTCTGAGGCCCAGAAAGTGTTCCTAGCAAAGGCTTAAGAAAGGTCAAAATTGATGTATGGAGCCAAAACAGATGACAGAATACATGTATTTTCACCCTTTATCATCAGACATTTATTCATGACACCAGACATTAACCGTTTCCAGAACTACTGTCACTGGTTTGCAATGCTAGAACACTTGTATCACAGAACTCTGAGCTTTAAGGAAAGCAAAGTAGAGAAGGGATTCAGACAAGAATGTCTTTGAGCAATCTGTGATGAGTTGCGGGGGGAAGACCCACACAAATTCTTCCCGCAGTCAGGTTTTCCTTCCCTCTGGAAGAAACCAGAATAAACACTCCAGATGAGAAGGTGGCATGGGAGTTTAGCCAAATAGTAAGTAGTACTGTCCCTCTTTGTCTCAAGTAACAGTTTTTGTTCCACATTCTGTTCATCTGATTCTGTGGAAGCCACACTTCAGCTTTCTTTTGGCTACCCTTGCATGCCATCTTTTCTATCCCTTTAGTTTCAACCAATGTATCACCACATCAAAACTGTGCCCCTTGTAGGCTGCATGTATGGGATGGGCTGGGTTTTATGTGCGCATTTTTTAATGTATTCTGTCCATCTCAAGGCTTTAATTGAAGTGTTTAATATATTTACATTTAAGGGACATAGGTATGTTATAGTGATTGGGTAGGGTTTATGTCTCTCATCTTACTAGTTGTTTTCAATAAGACTTGACCTCTTTCTTGGTCCTCTTTCCTGCCATTTTCCATTATTGCTTTCTTTTTTTTTTTTTTAAGGCTATTTTAAAAATGCCTTAATTACCCTTTGTAGCCTTTTAATTACCTTATAATTTCTATTACTTTAATTTTTAGTGAACTTAGGGACCAGTTTAGGGAATAAGCAGTCACATCCTGAATTGAGATCAATAATTCAGAGTTAAAGATTAAGGCAATAGGATTCATGGAACAGTGATGTCAAACAAACCCAAATTCAACAGTCACTGCCCCTGATATATAAACGTGTATGTGGGAGAAGCTCAGCAAAGTTTGTTAAATGAATGAACAAAATACACATTTATTTCTAAATAGAGTAATATGGTGTGTGTGTGTGTGTGTGTGTGTGTGTGTGTGTGAGAGAGAGACACAGTCAGACACAGTTAAACACAGTTTTATTATAAGGCTGACCTTAAAATGGGGAACAACCAGGTAAACTGAGTTGGGTTTTCTTATTTAACTAAGGAGAATTGGCCTGTCTTGACCAGCATCTTCCATTTCTTTGTCTCCATGATGAGTAAACTTTTATTCCTTTAACATCTTCTACTTTCTTACCCATAGAGCCATTACTCCTTTTATCTGAAATGTTTTTAAAAGCCACGCTTTAAGGCTTTGTCTTCCCCATTTCTGTATGGAGGCCTAGGAGGCTGGAGGCTGTGCAGGGCATTCGTGAGTCTGAGCTGTACTTTCTGATACCACGAGTCAGAAATCCTTGACTCGAATGGAGATTTCAAAAGCTCATCCACTGGAGCTTGTCAAGGACCCTCAAGGGGCCACAGTGGGGGGTGGGGGGAGGAAGCTTGCATTTTCAGTTTGTTTTCCTTCTCCTCCAGATAACTATCAATATGCTCATGTTCATTATGAACTGTGAATTGTTCTTTTTTTTTTTTTTAAGATTTTATACATTTATGCATTACAGAACTGGGTTATAGGTCAGAGGTGCAGGGGCAGTGAACAGATTCACCAGAGACAGGATGGGAAGCAGAACAGGCAGATTGACTGAAATCCACTGCTGAGGGGAGCAGCAGGCAGACAGGAGCAGTCTGCTATGCCATGTGAGTCAACTCCCTGGCCAGGGATGGAACTTGTGCTGAAGCAGCTGCAACTGGCCTCATAGTGCTATACCACCCAGGACTAGCCCCAGGGAGAGCCCTAACTGTGAACTGCTCTAGAGGTGGGCTGAAGTTCATATGACATGAAAAGGTAGGCCTGCTCTTCTCAACTCCGTGCATTCCTGAGGGATGTCAACAATGGGCCAAGAGAGCAAGGTTCATCTAAGCAGTCTGCATTTTTTTAATGACACAAGAACAGGTGTTTTAGTGATGAAAAATGTAAATGCCTTATGAATGTTTCAGATAAATCCCGAGAGTTAATAAAAAAAGTACATAATTGTGGCAGGCTGACTTGGCCAGACCTCAAGCCCTTAAGGCACATGTATCCACTCTATTTAGTGCTAGGGGCTGTGTTAGTTGACGAGAGCACCACAACCAACTGAATGGCTTAAATTACAAAAATGTATTTTCGTCACAATTATGTAGGCTAGAGGCCAGGGCTAAGGTGTCCTAAGGATTCGTTTCCTCTGAAGATAGCCACCTTCTCTTCACCAGTCTTCACCTGTGTGTGTGTTTGATGTCCTTCCCTTGAAAGGGCACCACTCATCTTGGATTAAGGTCTGTCCTTGTGATCCTACTGTATGTAAACATCTTCCTTCTATCGGGAGGTATTAAAGGACATAATTCACCCCATAACAGGGATTCTGGATGGAAGAATTGAAAAGTAGTAGTAATCACCTTTGAATCGATATTGAGATTCTGGGTTTCCAATAGATGTCATAGTTTTCCTAAGATCATTTAGGTCATATGTGACTGTCTCTTTTCTATGTTATCCCCAGAACTCAAGAGAGACCACAGGGGCTGCTGAGGAGGAGGGGGCTTGCTAGCAATCACTATAACAAGAGACACTGCCTTGGTAATTAACAACCTGTTCCTGTGGGAATCCAAACAGGTCAGTGCAATGTGTTTTAAAGGACCAGGAACCAAAGTTATAGATCTGTCCAGTAGGCTGGTCACAGAGAATTTCTTTTTAAAACCTGAGGGTGAATGCTGCTATTAATGTCACTCAATTAACACAAGCAGCTGGAGAAGTCACCAAAAGACTTCTAAGCACAAAAGCTACAAGTGTCTAGCCTCGGCTGACAGACAGCGTTAAGTGGACACTTACAGTACCTGAGGGCATCACAAATAAGAATACTTAAGGAACTCCTCATAGTTAAAGAGCTCATAGTGAAAATGGGAAATGTAGGTTTACAGAAACTGTGATGCAGCCAGAACTTAGTGAAGAGGGTAATTTTATCCAAGTGTTAGTTACTGTGATGACATATTTCCCGAAACAACCTTCAAACAGAGAGAGTAACTCGAAACTAGTTTAATGTTTAAGTCCTTATTACACAGGCTATGGCTTACAGAAAAACTAAGTTCTAGAGTGGCACTTATATCTGGGTCACAATAGTAAGTGACATGTGTTCAGTAGAAAACACCCCTAATGTTGATGTGCGCATACCACAGAAGACAGGATCTCCAAGATGAGATCTAGTTTTGCTGTTCAGGAAAGCAGCAAGTAAAACTTCAATCATCCAATTATATAATTATTCAATTATCTCCACATTGGTCATAGGGGAATCTTACCTAATGGTCAATTTCACAGGCTCGGGGGAGCCGTTGACGCCGACCAGGAACTCTTCCTCAAAGTGCCCTAAGATGGTAGAACTGAACAAGATCTGGACAGCCTGCACTCCGCTTGGCTCGATGATACCTTCCTTGGGGCTGAAAATAAAGCAGGACCCCAAAGCTGAAGCTGGAGGCATCACATTGAAGAGGGCATCGATGCTGCCTTTGTTGGAGAGTATTGCCTATTTTTTTTAAAAAAGCAAGAATGAAAAAGTAAACAACAAGCCTCCAATATACTTTCATAAAATCACATGCCTGTTGGGGTCCTCCCTGTTGGCACAACAGGTAAGAGTGCACCACTGCAAGCTAGCCACAGCCGCTTCAGTGCAAGTTCAATCCCCTGACCCGGAGATGACCAACATGGCACAGCAGACCTCTCCTGACCCACCCACTGCTCCCCTTAGCAGTGTACTTCATTGACCAGCCTGTTCTGCTCCCCACTCTGTCTCTAGTGAATCCTCTCATCGCCCCTGCACCTCTGGCCTGTACCCCAGCTCTGTATGCATAAATGAATAGATAAATCTTTTTAAAAAATCATATGGCTGTATTGTTTAATACCAACACAGAAGTAGCTGCGAGAATTAGAACCAAAGAAAAACTCCAGGAGAGAGAGGGAAACTTTTTTTTGAAGATATGAATCCTGAGTCAGAAAGTACTGTGTTTTCAGTCTTCTCTTTAAAATGGAGTTTGTCATAGTTGTTAGTCTCGACTGAGGAAATATCTTTTTTGAAAACATTCTCCATAAAGTAACCAAGAGGAGACAAGCAGTTCTCAAATACACATGAGAAAACAGAGACTAAGTAGCACATAGACAAACAAAAACCAAGTCAGGACAGAGGATCAAAAAGTACCCAAGCCTGTGGTGAGTGTGTAGCTTGAAGAATATACAGGAGACATCACTGTGAGCTCCAGATGGCCAGGTTCTCCCTCCTGTGCTGTTAGATTGCGTCCTGTTGGGATATCTTCACCTGGGATTCTATTGGGTGGATGATTGTTTGAGGACTCTTCTACAACCAATTGTTTTCTGCCGGGAAAGTATGACTATTTCTAACCATATCGTGGCCCGTTGCCTGCTAACTAGCTATGTGTGTGCATATGTGTTTGTGTGTATGTGTGTGAAGAGCTCATGCCTGGCATTCGAAGTCCCTCACAGCTCACTCAGGTTCCCGCCCGCCTCCACCACCATTCCTGCCTATGAACCTGCACCACAGCCACTCAGTTTTATTCCCCGGCTTCCAAGCCACAGTCTCCGTCCTCACCAATGCTCCCACCTAAACAAGGGGATAGCACTTCTTATGTAGGTACTCCTACGCTCAAGCCCTGGAAGAAAAGAGTGCACAAGCCATCATGAGATGCACTCAGAAAGGCAGCAGGAAATAAGGAGCAAGTTGGGAACTCAGAAGTCACTGAAAACTTCCAAAAGAAGTTGAGTGGGAACAGAGGTGAAGGAGCAGAAGTTCTGAGAAAACACTGCAGAATTTTTTTGTTTGTTTGTTTTGTTTTTCATTCAAGGTCATTCCTGGTCTTGAAGAAGAGGGTGTGATTGAAGAATCCAGAGAACAAATGTCTAGGGAGTAAGTGGTTGCAGAGGAGAAAGTGGTCAACTATTCTAGGTTCTTGTTGTAAGATCAGAGTAGGTTACCACTACTAATCTACTAATTAGGTTACTTCTAAGAAGCAGAAAGATGAGAAAAAGAACCAAGAGCTGTTGGAGAGTAGAGGAAGACAACCACTTTGCCAAGAGAAGTAAGCAATGCACCAAAGCTTGCATTTTACTCAAGTCTGTTTATCTCCCATTCCCCTTGCCCTGTTATAAATCCCTGGCAGAATCATGCCTCACCCTTTATTACTTATAAAGGGATCACGTAGAAAAGTGATGACCACACCAAGAACTTGGAAGCCAAACTCCTTAGGTTTGACTCCTAGCTTTGCCCCGGAGTTACGGGCTGTGTGACCTTGGACAACCTACTTTGCTTCTCTGTGTGCCAGTTCCCCCAGCTGTGAAATATAAGTCTACTACCTTCTCAGGTCGCTGAAGGGGAAATTTATTACTTTATGTAACTCTCAAAACAGTGCCTGGCAAAGAGTGCTTCTAAGTGAGAGTGGTCATTACTTATATCCCCAGTGCCACACCAGATGGACTTAGAATTTACCTGTGCTGAAGAAGCATATGACATGCACCAGTGCTGACTTCTAGACAACTCAAAGGTGGTAGTGGTAACTTAGAGGACATTTGTTCTTCTCTCCGAGAAGATGCAATAACTGTCTTTCTATTTGGGATCCACAGCTATATTTTACTGAGATTTTGTATAAGATACTAGCTTTTCCTTTTCAAAAATAATGCATGCCCTTCTTCCCCCCCCTGACAGAGAGCAATATGGAGCACCTACTTATATACGCAGAATCCAGAAAATCACGTAGTATACAATGCTGAGACTTTAGATTACCAGGAAACACCCTTACCCTCATAGTCCAGGTCCTTGGAGTGGAAAAAAACTTATAATAGAACTTCATCTCTCATTTGTTTTCCTTGTAATTACACTGGGGAATAGTATATTCTCTTGGGGTTATGGCTTATTCTTTAAGTGTTTGCTAAGCTCAGCAATGACTAAGGGCTCTAGCCAGCTATTCAAATTTGTCTCGAGTAGGTAACATAATAAATGGAAAGAGAGATGCAGTGAGGCATCAGCATTAAATACGCAGAGAGTGCAAAATATCCCCATAAGAAGCACCTTACCGTGTCCTTCTCTGCTGCTGCATGGCTCTCAAACTACCCAGTCTGATGTGGTAGCTCATTTGACACTGACTTAGCTACCTGTGGTTTGCTTAACTATTCAACTCTGGGAGGGTGGGAAGTGGTGGCCTAAAGTACACTCGGTTAAATTTGCAAGAAAAGATTACTCCATTCGGGGAAAGCCTATCCACTTTGCCGCTGAACTAACTGTCCTGTCCTGATACAGCATCCATCAGACACAGCCTGCAAGATGGGAGGAAAACACCCATGCTGCTAAATCACAAATACCAATTTAGCAAGAATGACTCTACCTTTTCCCTCTCCCTCAATGACCTGTTTTCACACAGCAATAAAAGACGATGCCACACGGTGGTTGCACCCCTTTCTTCTTTATGATGGCCCTGTGGCCTTTTCATTTCACTAGGATCTTAGGTACTTTGCATCTCACCCACCTCCCTCTAACCTTCCACGTGGCCCAAGAGGCCCAGGGCACTGAGAATGGCACGAGCCGCACTGTAGGGGGCGCTACAGCACAGACACGACCTTTCAGGCCAGGGCAGGGGGGCTGCAAGCCAAGCTTAGGCTGGATTTGCCCATGTTGAGTGTCTGAGCGGTTGAAAGGCCAGCAAGGGCCTTCTTTCCCACAGGGTACAAAGCCCTAAAGACCCACAGCTCACTGCCAGTGTGAACAGTGTGACTTACGAACCGGTGCCCTCTACAGGTGTGTGTGCATAGCCCAGCAACACGTGAGGTTACACTCAGTTGAACGCAAGTGACACCTGATGTCTCCTACCCAGACCTCTGTGCGGCCTGGCCTCCCCCATGCCCTCCCTTTGGGCTGAGACCCCAGTCCTGCGGTGCAGCAGAGCAGAGGTGAAAGAGCCCATTCTCTGCTAGAGGAGAACAAGCTGCTGACTGCCAGCCTGGTTTAGGGCTTTGAGTAATCAACAAAGTCTGCTTCCATCAAATCTGAGACAGTGCGCATTTGAGTATTTGTGTGTAGTCCTATATAGCATTCCCTTAACTAGTGCAAAGGCTTCTCAGTGAGAAAATGCACCTCCTCAAGGGTTGTGTGAGGTGGGAATGAAGGAAAGCAGGCATATTTAACACACATGAAGGGTAAGGCTGCTGGTGGAAATAATCAGAGAGCCCTCATTTGTTAAACAAGTGCAATTAAAACCCACATTTCAGTTTTGTGAACAGCAGAAACTGCACACACATGGCCAGCACACACAGTAAAGCAAGGAGCCCTATCTCTCATTACAGAACTGCTTTTATCACTACCTCTATAGGAGCACAAACATTTACAATCCAGGAATCTGTCTAAAATGAAGTCTCAATGGTTACCGTTTGATACAGTGTAAAAAAGTACCCTAGAGGCAAATACAGTGGATGAGGTAACAGTGAAATAATATTGATCTGGATGAATCCAGGAGGACATCTTGTAAAAGGATCATTTTCTATTTATTGGAAAGACAAAGTGGGGTGGGGGGACCGCTTCCAGAAATCATGATGACTGGTTTTTAAATCACGGATTGGATAGTAATGTGTTCAAAAAAGATTCTGAAGTGTGAAAACAGCTATTCGCATTAGGATATTCTGGAAAATGTAAAAGGTTCGCTATCTTGTGACTTGTAGGACTTGTGTTGTCAGAAACAAGCATTAAACAGATGGGGAGAGGTATTTATGGCTTTCCCCTTTGCAATCTACAAAATGATGAGAATAAAGCCAGTTAAATTATGGTTTTGATGCTTTTAGCTTTTAGAAATGTTAGAGGGCTGAAGGGAGAAAAAAAAGTCACTCCCTTTAGTAAAGTAAGGGGAGAGAGAAGAGCTAGATCATTCCTGGAGTCTGAGTAAGTAAGTTCTTTGCCAAATGGGTTTGACTACACATTTTCTACCAATAAACACACATACACAATGTGCAGTTACTGTTTGGGTTGCACACCTAATTCTGGTGCTTACCTCGTAACAATGTACAGACCCAACAAAAACTTTTCCAATGTCCAGAAGTTCAAAGTTGAAGTGAATCTTTGGTCCCATTCCTTCTCCTTTGATTCGGAGGGGCAGACGAATCTCTCGCCCTATAAAAACAATGCCAACTTTATTATATCCCAGAGGATTCTTTATCACCTCCAAATTACCTACCATTTGTTGCCAATGTGAGCAATCAAGATTTCAGCACCAAATGCCTGCACTAGGCACTGGGAACTGCAATTTAACCAAGGCTGATGAATTAGCTTATCTTTAGGAAACAGGAATACTGAACATTTCTTATCTTTAGGGAACAGCTTATTTTGCAATTTAGCCTGATACTTCAGCAGAAAAAAAGATAATTAAACAATTTAACCCAGACTTAACCATATTCTTAAGTTTTTCATAAAGCCAAGTAACTTCTCTAAGTCAGAGAGGTGCTTCTCATTAATGAGCGCTACTTTGTCTGCAAGGGAGTAAACACAGAACATAACCTTTAACCTACTGACCAGTCTATTTCCTTTCAAAACCAGTATGTCTTCATTTGATAATACATAATCATTATGACATATATTATAGAGAAAATGGAAATTCTCTCATAATTCCACCCCCAAAGAAAACTACTGATAGTGTTTTTATGCCTGCCCTTTCACATTTAAAGACAGTCGGTATCAATGAGGATACTGTTACATGTTATTTTGTGACCTAGTCTTTCAATAGCTGGAACATTTTTATAACTTCACCTAAAGAAGAGGTATTTTTTCTTTTAACTAGCTCCCCTTGTTGGATATGTAAATGGTATCCCACTTTTCAGTACAAATTATAAGTTAATCTATATCTTTGAACACATGTGTGGAAAATTTTCCTGTATTTTCTATCAACACTTTCAAGATATTCTATTGTCACTTATCTTCCACTATTTCTGCTAAGAAGTAAGTTCACAGTCTTATTGCTCATTTGAGGTAGTAACTCTTCCTCTGACTGTTTTAGAATTTTCTTTTTACTCATTGCTGTCTACAGTTTGACTGTGATGTTCCCAGGGATGGTCTGAATGTATGCTTTGTGGGCTTTGTGGCACCTGTGGGTAAATGTCTTTCATCAGTGTCTGGGAAATGTTTAGTCATTATTTCTTCAATAGAACTCATGCTCCATTTTCTCAATTCTTTCCTTCTGAAAAGGATGGCTTGATATATCTGCCTTTTGGGCCACATCTCATTTGACTATTATGTACTTCTCTGCCTTTTATCTCTACATTCAGAGTAGATGTTTACTTCTGATTTATCTAACTTCCAACTTACAAAGTCTGTCTTTGACTGTACTTAGGAGGCTATTAAATTCTTCCTCTGAGTTCTCAATTTGACATGGTAACTTTTTAGGTTAAACTTTCCACTAGACTTTTTTATAGTCTGCTCAATCTTGCCTTAAGTAAGAACATTTTAAAAATCTGTTGGATAATTCTCTTTTCTGTATCCTGGTAAAGTTTCTAATGTGTATTTCTGCATGTGCTTGGTTATTTTTGATGGAGGGTTGACCAGAAAAAAAAAATGTAGAGACAATTTGAAGCTCCAAGATGTTATTTTCCTGCAGTTTCTGGCTATAATATTGGTACAGCATTCCTGGATAACCCAATCTAACCTTTTTTTTTTTTTTTCAATCTAACCTTTCTCAGCTAAGAATCCATGAAAGAATTAAGAGTGACGTTTTTTCTCAGTCCTCCCAAGAAGGTATATCACTAGGACTTAGGTACAAAAGAGTTAATTCCTCATAGATAACAGATGACATAAGACTATCTCAGGGAACCGAAGTGGAGAACTGTCTTAATCAAATTGATAATTGAAAATTATTTCAAACTGAGCTTTAGTCCTTGGGAGGGATGACTCATTTCTAGTCCTGCTTCCACGGGCCCCAGCTTCAAGCTTGGGAAATCACTCATGCCTTCTCCTTGGATATGCCATGAATGCTGGCATTTTCTCCCCTAATTCTCCTTGGCTTTTTTTTTTTTTTTTTTTTGGTCTTCTTGTAATTTCTAACAGAAAGTTCATGAAAGGGTAGAACAACCTCCAAAGTCTGATGAGTTTGGTTTCCTTCTCCTGAATCTTGGCCTCCTATTTCTCTACTGCCCTGGCAGCTCTCTATTGTCTTCAGACAGGTCTTAAAAAATACTTTGCTTTGCTCTTCTTGCTGCTCTTGGAGAAAGACTTGATCGAAATTTCCCACCCACCATTACTGGAAAAGCCAGAGTACAGGAGCACCTCTGGGGCTTGGCAGCACAGTGATCCTGTTGGCCATTTGATGGCTGTGGCCATCTTCCCATCCACAATAATTCGCACACAAACATCAACAATATTTAAGGGTTGCTGTCACTACATATCTTTCCTGATAGCGGGGTTATCATCACCTTTGAAAATCTTCACTAGTTAGACAGGTTTTTCTTAAATTCATGCCATAAATTTCAAGTCATCAATATGGAAAATTTACCTATTTGCTCTATGTGTAACATTCTGAATATTTAAAATACGCTGCTGCTCTGTTAGACATAATGTTCAGTGTTATCAAATACATGATGAACAATCAAGTCATATTTCTAATTTATTATCATTGTAATGCTTTGAAGTACTTTATGTTCTGCAGAAGTGTTGCTGTTCAGCTTTTGCATCTTTAATGTTTTCTCTCCGTGACTGCCCTTCTGAAGACTGGACTACTTGTCTCTGTGTCCCCTCTAGGGCTTGGCAGCACAGTGATCCTTAGACAGGGATTACTGATTATGAGAAACAAGAGAAAGTGTACCAATATTTAGAACAGCTGATTCATTAAAGTTCCCCCAGCCCATCTGATCCTTTACAGAGAGTCCTCTAATGATCAAGCACACTCTGGAAACTGAGCAAAACTTCCAGAGAACCCAAACTCACCACCCTACTCCATTATTTTAGACTTCTAATATATGCAATGATTTGTACTCATTGGTCAAAAGAGAAGTATTTTGACAGAAATCCAACTTTCAGAATGGCAAAAAAAAAAAAAAAAGAACTGCAAATATATTGTGGACTAAACTGCAAGACTATTTATAACTGTCAAGTTTAAAGATTTCCTCATCTGTTACCTTGACTGCTTTCCTTAATAATAAAAAAAAAAGAAAAAAGAAAAAGAAGATATATTGTAATAAAGTAGAGAGCCAAAATTTTTTTGGAATTATTAATTGCTTCCAGAGTTTGTCTTATTTGCAAGCAACTACTCTCTTTACCCAGGATAGAATGGGAGTAGTACAAGTAATACCTGATCTTGCACTCACAAGAGCCAGTAAATTTTACAAATGCTACTGTTCCACAAGATTTTCCAAGCAGGGAATTTTCAGCCTTGACAAAAGGCAGCCAGAGGGACAAACCTGGAAAAAAACTTAGCCCTAAGGACACATCCCTCACTAGAAGAGCAAAGAGCATATTAAAGAGCATATTAAAGTCACTTTAAAAAGACAGAAGTTTCTTATCTATTACAGTGTCTTGGTTTCACACACGAGGAGCAGAGAAATGCACGAGAGAACCCCTTCAACAGGCCAGAAATCCCTGACTGCAAGAGTTTACTTTGTATTAAATACCATAAAATGTTAACTGTAGGCTTTCAAAAAACTAGACAGCTATGGTATCTTAGATGTTCAATATCAGACTTAAGTTCCATTTCCGTGCAGTAATATAGGAAAAAGGTGGGGATGGTATAATTAGGAATAACAAAGATACATTTATATGTTTTAGGATGTCTACCCAGAAAATCCCAAGGAATATATAAATACATTTTAAAACTGAATAATACACAGTAACAATCAGAAAAATAAAGTTCCAAGATACTCTTTACAATAACAACAAAAGTATAAAGTGCCTAGAAATAAATCTAACATAATACACTTACAATCTTTAAGAAGCAAATTTTAAGACACTGTTGAAAGATTTGTAACAAAGATCTGAATAAATGGAGCACTAGATTATGCTCTTCAAAAGAAAGATTCAATTATCATAAAGTTGTTGATTCTCCAATCTATAATTTCAATAATTTACTATAATTTAGTAAACAAAATAACCAGCAGATAGAATTTCGTGGACTTTAATGGGTTGATTATAAAATAAAAAAATAAATAATATCATTCCTAAAAAGAATAAAGTGAAGGACTTACTCTTTCCTATATCAAACCCATTATAAAGCTATTATAATTGAGAAGGCACAGAGTGCAAAAGGACTAAGAACAGAACTCAGGACAAAGAGTCCAGAGGGACAAAATTATAAAATTTGACTAATAGTAAGGGTAGCCAAGGACATATTCAATAAAGCAGTTCATTGCATGTTTGTAGCACAAAATTGCTTAATGTACAGATATTTCTTGGAACCAAAATCTTTTTTTTTAAAGATTTATTTATTTATTCATACAGAACTGGGGTACAGGCCAGAGATGCAGAGGGTGAGAGAATTCACCAGGGACAGAATGGAGAGTAGAACAGGCAGATGGACGAAGTACACTGCTGGGGGGAGCAGTAGGTCAGGAGAGGTCTGCTGCGCCATGTGGGTCACCTCCGGGGCAAGCCGGAATCGAACTCATGCAGAAGCGGCCTAAGCTTTTTAGTGCAGTGCTTTAACCCGCTGCGCCACCAGGGAGGGCCGGAACCAAAATCTTACTTATAGTACTTTTACATTCAACAATGCTATGGCATAAATAATTTCATCTAAATTCAATATACAAATTAAAGCCAAGCTACAATGCATCTGTAAGTCTGCTACAGAAAAAGCATTTATGTTGCTTGAATTCTCATGCTAAAATTCAGTGTGTGTTATGTCCAACCTAAGCTTCTCTGAGGAGACAAGTGTCTAATGCTACCAATGTTTAAAATGTACTATGCAAAGGCAAGAAAATTCTAGACCAACACCCTAGATGAACATCAGTGCAAAATTTTTCAACAAAATATTAGCAAATCGAATTAAAAAAATGTATCTTATACACCATGATTAAGTGAAACTCGTCCAGGAGAGGCAAGGATGACTTAATATATGTTAATCAACTAATGTAAACACTAAGTCAAAGCAAAGATAAAAATTCATCATATCAACAAAGGTAAGCATTAAAGTCAGC